AACAGAAAGCCTCCACGGTCTCCAGTTTGACTGCAGCAGTTGAAATGACGTTATTATCAATTAGCACACTAAACACCTCATAGATATCATTCGGCTTCACCAACACACTTCATAATTGAGTGACTTACCATGAGAATCCTCATGCTTCCGCAACTTTGATGCAAACTTGAAAACCTTTCCACACCCAACCTCTGGACAAACGTGCTGCTTCGGACTCTTAAATTCACCAGACGTCGATGGTAGCTCATCACTATGAATATCATTCATGTGCCTCTTCATGTTCCCTTGATATGCAAATGACTTACTGCAACCATCGACAGGACAGCTGAAGATCTTGCCTTTATGCTGAAGAAAGTGACGAGCCAAATGGTTTTTTCTCCTATAGCTGGCAGGGCAATCCTCCATAGAACACTTGAAAGGCCTCTGCAAATAAATTTAGCATATTGACACAGCGATACAAAGCATACCAAATCTCTAGATATCAACAGAACAAAACCAACGAACATTGCTTCAAACCTCAAAATAGAACATGCGTGACCGAGGCTGACTTGATGGATCTTCTCAGGTGGTCCCCCACCCTGATACTAGTCCAATCAAGATACAAGAATGCAGCCTCTTGCATTTTGGAGTTCTTTTCTGTGGGATCCAATGCTTCACGCCATTACCATAGCATAATCAGATGAGCCAACATATTTTATCCTGCAAGGACTTGATTTCAGCATAGAGAAACTCGCAGTAGACAAACGGAAAAGAACAAAACAGCTTCATTTTTCAACCAAAATTTAAACTTTTTTTATCCTGGAAATCTATCTGTGAAACCAGATCGCAATAAAAGATTGATGCTTTCTCATAGGTGCTTCCATGTGATGATGCTCCAGAAGTTCACGGCACTATGTTTATAGGTGATCACCATTCCACAGCCCAGAAAAGCATGTATATCCCAAACGATAATATTCGAATTGCCGTTTCCGACACTCCTCATTAGAAGTTATAATGCGAAAAGTTTAAAAGCAAAGACCACAACCGAGCATTGTACATCAAAACCATCTGTTCAACAAGACCAACACGGAGTGCCTAATCCTATGTGATCAGAACCTCTCCCCTTTACAAACTGTACCTCACCGTCCAAACTCGACTGAAATTTTCAAGGTACTTGCTTTCACGTTGCACTATCAAGAACAACAAAAGAACTCCGGTGAGGCAAACAGAGAGAGCTCGACATACCTCGAGCGAATGGCCCTGCATATGCTGCTTCAAGTAGGCGGGCTTCTTAAACGTGGCGCCGCATTCTTGGCAGGTATTAGCCTTCCCTCCGTCCTTCCCCTCGACCCCTCGAACCATTGCCGCTTCCATCTCCTCCTGTTAAAGACCCAAAGCAACACGAAAAAAAAACCAGTCCACATCAGTTCCGCAACGCAAAACCAGTAAATTGTCTCGAGCGAACTAATTGATAATCGCATCGCAGCATCAGAACTCGCGAGCCCAAAACGAACCAAGCTGCTCAGGAAGCATCGGAAATAAATGATATTTATATATGGGATCGGATTTTTCCTGGGCCTAACTTGACTGGGTTCAAAGCTATGATAGTTTGGGCCCAAATTAGGCCCGGCCCAATAAGCTTTCAACAGAACGAAATCAGATCTGCGAACAGGAAGCTGCTTACATTCGCGATCGTTGCGTCCATTCAATACGAGCATGAAGATTTATAGAGAGAGTTACCGTGAGGTTTCGATGCAGAGATTGCCGAGGTAGATTTTCGCAGAAATGTATTCGGTCATTGTGAAAACATCAGAACTCAAATCAATTAATATCAACTTAATCTATGTCAACATACTTTCGGATTCAGGAAAGCGACGATACTAATTCGCATTGAAATCCTCTAGACATTCCGTCGAACAGATTGCAGTTAATCGATTAAGGAGCAGATTTTTTGCGATTTTAAGCTCGTATTTGTGACCATACGCAAACGAAATCAACATGCGAAGTTCAGAATCAAACACACGACTCTAACATGATCGATGTCAACATCACTTGAGTGCCATATCTTTACGGTGTTCACTTGATTTAAAAAATTTATGACACTCAAATGATCAATTGAAATCAACATTGCATATATGATTTTGCCAACAAAAAATTCCGATGTCAACATCACTTAAGTGGCATAACTTTCGTACGACGCTCACTTGATTCAAAAAAGTTATGACACTCAAGTGATCAATTGAAAGTAATGGTGCTCAAGTGAACTATTTTTTAAAAAGTTATTATACTCAAGTAGTCGAACAAAAAGTTGTGACACTCAAGTGACCATCGTATAAAGATTATGACACTTGTTATTTCATTATCCCATAATAAATCACTAACATTATTGCAAAATCAAGTCAATAGACATGAGCAGTAGATAGGAGGTTGCGCAATATATTTTAGAATCAACGTGCGAGCAATACATTATTGGAAAATACACTCGAAAATGATTGTTTTGGTGCCTGAAAATTAGTCTTTTCAGTTCCTATCAACCTCCAAACAAGCAAGAGAAGTTACCATATCTTCCTCGTTGAATTAGAGAATTCACGAACTGTTCGTGCAGAGGAGTTCTCGGTGTCCAATCCTCCAATCTCAGTGTCCATACACACGGTTGTGGTGTTGTCGGTGTCGGTGTCCATGATTCGATTGCATGTCTATGGCCACGTATTGGTCATGATTTACGTGCAGGGATTGTTGATTCCATGTTTATCTCTAAATTCCTCGTGTTAATAGGGTTGAGAGATTGCCATGTTTTGATTCGCCTTTGCATGAACTTAATCAGAGAAGAGTCGCATCTTTATTACTCAGATATATCTCTTTTTGCGTGGATTTTCCCTTGGTTGAATTATAAGGATGATCTTTTTGCATGTTAATATTGAATCGGATTGGATTGATGATTCCTTTGCATGTTGTTCATGGCCGGTCCCCTTAGCGCTCTTGGTCACGCCCCCTCCTTGCTTGATTGCATCCGTTTAATGTTGTCTCGTATTGATTGCCCTTATTTTAATTTCCTTGCATGTCAGTTAGGGTTTGTCTTGCTTGGAAGAATTTTGATCATCTATTTTGCTGAGATTCATGGAAAATAGGCTAAAGCTTCGACCTTTGATCAATGCTTTAGTTCATGTCAAAAAGATCGAATCTTTCGAGGAAAGATCAAACCTTTACTGCTTTTTTAGTCATGCATATAGGATACAGTTTGCTAGTTCATGTCCAATAGTGAGAAAAATCATAAAAATTGCATCTTTAATTGTCATGTGGCGTATAGGCTATTCATGATCACCTAGGTAGTTGCAAATGGAAAGATTAAACAATAAGGACATCTTAGAAGCATGCTAGGTGACCTTTTTTTCTTTGGTCTTGGCATGCTAGGCGACTTTGCATCTTAGATTACGTAAGTTTTGATTAATTCATGTTAATCTAAATTAATAGGGTAATTTCGGCCATATAGCAGAATGCTCGATATGTAGGGTAATTTTAGGGTTTTAACTAGTGTTTATAAAAGTTCGACAAAAGAAAAGACAAAAAAAAAGGAGAGAGATTAGAATTGCATCTTAATCGCACTTAGGCAAGTTCTAAATCACAGTGTTAGATAATTCACGATATTTGATTCATGCATGATGGCTCAGGCAAGTTCGGCACTTAGACTGGGCATCTCATGTTTATTTTAATCTAGTGCATGTTTACTTTTGGTTTATAGCTCACGAGAGTCTTGTCCCGGGGCTTAATAATGAGGTTTTGTTAAGTTTGCCCTATACTATTCGGGTTTTTTATTTTCCTAGTACTTTATTTGCTTTATCTTTATTATCACTTGATTTAATATATATTGCTTGAACACCCATTCATGATCACCTTTTTTTTTTTTACATGATTAGAGGATATAAGGAAAATAAAATTGAGAAGATTGCCTGCAAAAAATTTTCACAAAAGAGAAAAGGTGCTGGCAACAAATGTTAAATTTATCTGGTATAATCAATTCCAAGACTCACAAATCTCTGGTTTGCAATAGTAAAGCGAGCTTCTATGTCTTATTCGGGCTCCTAACCAGCCCATAATTGATCAGTGCCAGCTCCAAAGCAAATTAAATTAAGTGATTGAATTGGAAAACCAAGTTGCAACTGGTAGGGCTTGTAGTGTCCATGTTAGGTGTAAGCACCACCTTAGAAGAGAAGCCATTAGCGCTCGCATAGCAACCTGTGAACAACCCTTAGTTATGTCAATCTCAGGAGGGTTGCGACATTACAATGAAAATTTGTCGAACTTAAGTTTCTTCACTTAATGATGGTCATTGTTGGAATAGTTGGTAATTTAAAAAAGAATTGATAAGTTCGTATAAAAAATTAATAAATTTCACACATTGGCGAGAAATAAATATTCATAAGCTATCAAAGCCGTATGAAATAATAAGATAAATGTTAGTAAGTAGACTCCCATAAGCGTTGGCAGCTCAATCAACCTTCTGATAAGTTCTCCACATTTTTCAACCATCACCAATCATCGATGGTGGGGGTTGCCGTCAAGTCCTCCACCCCTCCTTTTATCTCTCTCGCTCTCCCTCCCTTGTGTTCTACAATTTGCTTTCCTTTTTCTATAGATTATAATTAGTTTCTTTTGATTCTAACATTATTGACTTTAACCTTTTTTGATACTGAAGAAATTATGAACTTAACATACTAAGTATTATTTAAGGACTTGATTTAGAATAGGATAGAGTTAGAGGAGTCGATTAGAAAAAAGATTGAAGGATCCAATTTTGTACAAGCAAATTTGAAGGATCCAATTGAAGGTCTAGGCCGCAGACCTACTTTTGAATGGTGATTTTTACGAGAGATGCAGACCTACTATTTTTTCCTAATGGGTAAGCAAGAGTTCTATTGATAAGTGAACAGATAATCTTTTAAATGGTGATGAAGAATTATGAAGAGAAGAAAGAACGAAAAGACTCTTTTCCAAGTTTAGCAACTGAACCTCAGTGGAAATCTTCATGGTCGTGAGTGTCTGAACAGCACTTTATCCCAGAATTGATAATAAGCAAACCTCCATGATCTGATAAACACTATCGGACCACAAAATACCCAGAAGCCAACCACGAATCCAAGTGGTATGCCCATGTAAAACCACTTCTTGCTATCATCATTGTCACCATCATCATCTATGTCGCTTTGAGTCGGAACACTACCCGCTTCTTCTGTCCCATTTGTTGTAGTTGAGCAACTTTTGTTGAGGGGAAGCCCACACAATCCGAGGTTTCCTTCGAAAGAACTTTTGGAAAATGTGAGAAACTGTCCACTAGTCGGGATGCTTCCCACGAGTTGATTGTTTGAGAGGTTCAGGAACGAAAGGAAATGAAGATTTGCAAGCTGAGCCGGTATGATTCCATTGAGGTAGTTCCATGATAGGTCCAACGACTCTAGCTGAAGCAAACTCCCTAAAACAGGAGGAATCAAACCAGAGATGGCATTATGCGATAGGTTAAGAAAATAAAGTGCTTTGAGATCTCTAAGTGTGTCTGGTATTGGACCCCCTAATCTATTGCCCGAGAAGTCAATCGACGTGAAAATAGTCAGGATCTTGACGAGTTCTAGCTGTTGACCTTTCAAGGTTACTCTCATTGTATCTTCATAATAGAGCTGATTCGATTGGGTAACATAAGACGGAAATTGCAAGCGATTGAAGTGTACATTGGCCTTCATAGCCTCCCAAGATGTGAGGAGACTCGCAGGCAGTGTGCCGCTGAAATCATTTGAAGACAAGTCAATGATTTGAAGCATTTGCCAGGTTCTGGGACTATGCGAACATCTGATTTCCCCATGCAATTGGTTGGATCGTAAAATAAGGACACGGAGACTTGATATAGCCTTCAAATGGCATGGAAATGTCCCGTCTATTTGATTGTCCCCGATGTTCACAATCTCCAACATTGTACAATTTGCCAACGACAACGGAATCTGCCCGTGCAACAAATTCTCACTGAGATCCAATCTATTCAAACCACATGTTGCCCGAATGTTTTGCGGAATATGGCCACTCAACTGGTTATTTCTCAAATTCAATACCTCGAGAGAGGCCATCATTAAACAATCAGGAATAGTTCTGTTCAGATCGTTATGTGATAAGTCAAGCACTTTAAGATGAATAAGAAAACCAGCTTTGCAAAATGACTTCGGGATGGACCCATGGAAATTATTCTTCGAAAGGGAGAAGAACAATGGGGATGATAGGTCGCCGATGTTCTCCGGAATAACAGCATTGATGTTGTTACTTGATAAATCAATGTATTCAGCCCATGGCAGCAGGGGTAGACTAATTCCTCGGAGCATGTTTGAATGGAGGTCGATGACATATGGAGAGGAAGTAAGATTACGCGAAGGTGTTTCGAAATCTTCAAAAAAATTAGAGGAAAGATTGAGATAACTAAGATGTTTTAGTGTCCATATCCACCGCGGTATCTTCCCTTGAATACAATTTTGGGAGAGGTCGAGGATGACCAGTAAGGACTGGTTAGCCAAAAACTGAGGCAATGTCCGCAACTGGCAGGAAGCCAACTTTAACACTTCAAATTTAGGAAAAGAGGATGCAGCAGCAGAAGCAGATGCCATCGTGTTAATGGACAAGCCACTGTACGACAGATCAAGATAAATTCCGTATCCCCGAAGCGCATCGATATTCATCGAGCCACTGAAATTATTGAAAGAAAGTGAGAGGGACCAAAGCCCCTGCAGTTCGAATATGGATGCTGGTATTGACCCATGTAACAGATTGCTACCCAAATCAAGCTCGTACAGTTGATATGCAGAGACATTGGGATATATGATAAGATGACCATTAAATCTATTGTGTGAAAGCAGTATCCCCTCAAGTCGAGGAAGTGTAAACAGAGCTGGGGGAATGTCGCCTTCCAATGAATTGTCTTGCATGTCCAGAATTTCAAGATTCAGAAGGTCCTCCCAGCCAACGGAGGTGATCTGACCCGTTAAAGCATTATTGTATAATCTTATATGGGTCAGATTTCTGGATGCACCATATGGCGGAACTGAACCAGTAAGATTATTAGAAGACAGGTCCAAATAAGTCAGCTCTGACAGTTTCTCCATCGAGCTCGGGATTGATCCACTCAAACCGCAATCAGCCAGTTCTAATCTCGACAATTTTCTGAGATTACCAATTGAACCTGGAAGCCTCCCTGAAATACTGGTGGAACTCAGGATCAAAGTCTCAAGAGAACTATTCTCCAGAAAATCGGGCAAAGAACTCTGAAGAAGAAGGTTGAGTGATAGGTCAAGAGTCTGAAGTGTTTGTACCTGAAAGACTTCTTGAGGAAATTCTCCCTGCAGGCCACAATCACTTAGGCTCAGTGTCTTCAAGCTGGAAAAATTCAAGAAGAAACGAGGAACTGTGGTGGACAAGTTGTTGCCATCAAGTTGAATGACCGACAGATTAGCAAGACTCATAAGAGAAGCGTCAATAGGACCAGACAGAGAACAGCCCGACATGCTCAACACCTCAAGTTTCGGCACTGAAGAAGACAACGCGTCGCACCACCCACTTCCCTCGGCAGACACATTGACCCCATCAAGGTACAGCTCTCTCAGCTCCCCCAAATCCCCTATTAGCGACCTCAAAGAGGGCTTCTCAAGGAACAGGAAGTCCAATCTAGAGTAATAAAGAACAGAGAGATCAAGAGTACGTAGCTCCGTCAGGCGCGATAGCTCCGCCGGAATCTGCCCGGAAAATCTGGCATTGGACAAGTTGAGATGTACCAAGCGGCTGAGATTCGCGAGGCCGAACGGAATCGCTGAGTTGAAATCGTTGAACGCCAAGTTCAGGCTTTGAAGGAACTCGAGCCTAAAGAGGCTCGATGAATGGCCGATTCCACCAGAGATCGACTCTTCGCTCAAATCGAGTCCCACGACGAGCCCGTCCTTGCACGTCACGCCGCTCCATGAATCAGCGCTTCGGTCCCACCGTACTAGCTTGGATGACGCAGAGGTGTTGAAGACAAGGCTGTCTCTCAGCTCGAGCAAGAGCGATCTCTGGTCGATGCCGAGACACTGGGCTGGAGCTGAAGACGTAGCAACGTCGGAAAAGATGGAGATGGTGTATATAGCAAGAACAAGCCATGAGAAGAATGAAGTGTTCATCGGAAGAGGTTGAAGAAGAGCGCAAGAGGTTGAAGAAGAGCGCAAGAAGATGGCAAGGGGAAGAGGGAGCGGAACGAAACAAAGTCGACACTTATTATGGAGTCGTCGTCCAAAGTCAGTGCCAGCTGGTGTCGATTTTCGGGATGTGATTGGTCACTAAATTTGGACTCATCTCACTTTCGAAATTACTAGCAAAAATCCCGCATTCCTTTGCAACAAAATTACATCCTTTATTTAATATAATTTTTCAATAGAAAAAAAAAACCATATCTTTATTTTCTAAGAAAAAATGAAAAAATAAACAAGTCCGCCTAAAATGTGGAGATTAGAACTTGACATCTCTTTTGAAAATGCTGTTTGCTCATCTTATTTTACATCATAAAACAATTGACATATGACAGAATCAATTTTTTCTTTGCGCATACATTAACGATGTAGAAATTTGTTAAACGTAAATAGATACCTAGCTTTTCGCGGTAACATCAAAATGCATCTATCATATCCTTTTTTTTTATATTAAATAAGTAGATTCAAGAAAAGAAATAAAATAATTTATTAACGTTCGAATGCAACTTCATTACAGAATTTGTGAGTGAACACATAGGAGGAGGAGTTGTGTTCTTATTGGAAGGCAGACGAACATGAGCTTCCTTGAACAAGAGTTGTGTGTTTTGGTCCCTATGCGCGACTATCTTAAGTTGACTTGACTTGTGGTGGGTTTTAGTGGTTCTATGATTGTGGATGCAAATTCTTGAATGATCTCGCTAATAATGTCATGTTTGATATTGGCTCGAGTTACTTGACCGACCGAGTAATTCGGTCGAGTGGCGAGATACCACCAGAATAAATGGCGCGTGAGGTGGACAGAGATCAAGTGCGAGGACTTTGGCAGCCCTTGGTCCTTCCTTACGGCAACTGCTGCTTGCACTATCTGTCTTTTTCCTCGTTAACGTGTTTGTTCACCTTGACTAGAGAATGCGAAATTGTCGTTTCAATGGTGCTTTCCGATGGGCTGATTTCTAAAATTCTATCTCCGACAAAAACGGAATTTTTTCTGTGCACGTCAAACACGTAACGTCTGTACCGGCATTCAATTGAACCACGTAAACCTTTTGTTCTCATTCTTTGTTGATTTCTCTAGTAAGCTTCAATTAAGGGTGATTCATACTCGAGCAATATGTGCATGGAAGAAAGTGCTCTAATCTAACAAGACAATTAGTTATCTTAATCTAGCAAGGAAACTAGTTGTATTAGGAACTAACAAAATGTCAAATAATAACCCTAAAATCTAATAATATCTCCAATAATATTTTTTGATAATTCCTCAAATATCAATAAAGATACTTAGAACAAAGCCCATAAACATGATGATCCGTGAGCGAGGGATCTGGAAAAATTTCGTGCGAAATGGGCAATTCAAGAACAGAGAATTGCGGGTAGGAGGAGATAAACAGGGGATGGTTCAGATTGGATCAGAGAGTAGTCAAAGTAAATACCTGGTGGGGACAATTTTGTCTGATGTCTACGTTATCGTGGGACTGATGATGCTACTTTCTTTGTGGACTCTTGTGTGGGGAATATAATCAAACTTCAATGCGATGGGATAGGACCAGCTTTGGGAATTGAAAGCTTAGCTGGTCAATGATGGAAAGAGAGATGGTTAAATGGTGCCCAAATCCAAAGTTTGGTGTTTGAACAATTGAGATTTGCGCATCAACAAGCGTGAGTTATGCTTGGTCCACAACCGTCGCAGCCACTAGAGCCAAGATTGAATGGGAAATAGATTCGGTTTTCATGTGGATGGACCTATTTTTTTATTGGATCAAAGATGAGTTCAGTGGATGTATTAAAGGTAGCTGAAAATATCACCCGATCTCTATTAAAATAAATTACCTTTCGATCACTTATGTTGTACTTGTATTGGGGTGTATAAGGGGAATGTAACTGCTAGGCTGACTTCCGTGGTGGTAGATCTGAAGTAATTTACCATGTCATAATTTTCTTTTGTTGTCCCCACCAAGTAGTGTCATCTTTTGCACAAAGTCACGACTATGTGCTAGATTGCCCTCAATTGAATGAATGTCCATGAAAAAATTATCCAAAAAATCCTAAACCTATTGCACTTTTGCCAATTTAGTCCTAAACCTTTCAATTTTGCTAATTAAGTTCTAAACATTTTCACATTTTTCCAATTGAGTCTATCCGGCCAATTTTAGTCCTAAATCGCTAACGTGGAAGCTGGGCATCCTAAATGATGCGATCGTCACTGACATGAATATTGTTTAATAATATTTTAATATTTTTTTCAATTTTTTTCCTACATTCTTCCTCTTCTAGCCAATTGTCGGCCTCTGGCAAAGCTCGCTCGCTAGCCACTCGCGAGGGCAAGCCTCACCCGCCCCTGGCGAGGTCGAGGCTCGTCTGGCCGGGCTCGTTTGATCGGTTGTCAACCATTGCCAACGCCCCGTCGACTGGTTAGAGGAGGAAGAAGGAAGAAAAAAAAAGAAAGAAAAGAAAAAGAAAAAAAAGAAAATACTAATAATAAATAAATTCAAAAAATATTAAAATATTATTAAAAATTATCTAAGTCAGAGCCGGTCATTCTACATGGCATGACCGGCATCCACGTTAGTAATTTATGGTCAAAATTGGCCGGATGAACTTAATTGACAAAAAGTGAAAAGGTTTAGGACTCAATTGATAAAATTGAAATGTTTAGTACACAATTGGCAAAAGTGAACACTATTGACTTTCACCTTTATAAATAACAAAAAAAGTATTATCTTAGCATATCACATCAACATATTAAGAATTATTTAAGGAGGACTTGATTGAGAATAAGATAGAGTTACAGAAACTGATACCCAAAAAAATTTGTTTTTGAAGAATCCGATCGCACAAGCAACATAAGTTAGGAGCTAGGGCTCCGTTTGTTTAGCGAAAAATGGGACATTTTTGTAAAATATTTTTTAGGAAATCATTTTCTAGGAAAATGACAATATTTTTCAGTTTTTGGCCGAGACGTGAAAATCAACTTGGAAAATATTTTTCGTCGTTTGGTAAGGAAAATCTCATTTGATCAAAAATTGCTGACTACGTGGCACGGCCGCGCTGACATGGACAATTTTTGTAATTTTTCTAAAAGAATTTGAATTTTTTAATTTAATTTTTTCTTTTCTTTCTTTTCTTTTTCTTTTTCCTTTTTCCTCCCTCGGTTGCCGGGCCTCGGTGATAGGCCACAGGCAAGGGCCAACCTCACCAACCTCGGGCGAGCTCAACCTCGCCATATCCGGCAAGGTTGAGCCTCGCTCAAGGTCGATCCACGCCTATGGTCACTGTGGCCAGTAGTTGGCCATTGCTGAGGTCTGACGACCGGCGGAGGAAGAAGGAAAAAAAAAAAAGAAAATTTATATAACATGAAAATATTTTAAAATTCGAAATTTTTTAACATATTTTGGCCTTGATGGACCAAGGCACGAGCATCGATGACCTAGAATCAGCCTTGATATTACTGGGCCTGGCATCTTGAGCCTAGCCTTGATGGACCCAAGCGCGATAGCCAGGGTCTCGGACGCGACCTAGATGGACCCGAGCCTGGGCGTTGGAATCCCAGGCTCGGTCTCAATGGACGCAAGCTCAAGCATCAAGGACCTGACCTTGCTACCAAGGGCCTGAGAACGAGCGTTGGGGTTCCCATGCTCAGGCGCAGAGTTTTTTGTACAAGCACCAATACCTAGTTATATTTTGGAAAATGATTATTAATTTTTTAAAGAAGATATCATTTTCTTGAATTTATTAGTAAGAAAATATTTTCCTAAGCGATCCAAATGCCGAAAAATGAGAAAAATATTTTTCGCAAAAGAAACAGAGCCTAAAACTTAAATTCAAGAAAATAATTTCCTCTTTAAATTCCGAGAAATGGATCTATCATATCTTTTTTTCTCATTAAATAAGTAAATTCAAGAAAAGAAATAAATTAATTTGCTTACGTTTGAATGCAACTTCAATAGAGTTTGTGAGGGAACACATCCAAAGAGTTGTGTTTTTATTGGTAGGCAGATGAACATGAACTTCCTTGTACGTGACTTCAATGAAGCGGTGTTTGGTCTCGTTCATATCACGTCGCCTAATAAATTTTATGGTCCCCAAGAGCGATGACTTGACTTGGGAATGCAAATCCATCAAATCACACGAGGTTGAGCCAACTAGGGGTGAGCGCGGTTCCAGGGTAGAACCGGGAACCGAAGAACCGGACCCGGTGGGTCTGGTTCGGTTCCAGGTTCCATGGAAAAAGGGTCCGGTTCTCGGTTCCCCATTTTTAGGACCCGGCTGTTCCGGTTCCGGTTCCTGGTTCCTATAGGAACCGGAATCGAAACTTGGAACCGGAACCGGATCGGAACCGGGAACTGGAACCGGAACCAAGAACCGGGATCAGGAACCGGATCCCTAAAAATTAAAACATAAACTACACATTTGGTATTTAGAAACCCTAATTCACCTTGTCCCTCCTGCTTCCACTTCGGCCTCGCTCCCGCTTTCGCTTCTTGCTTGCTCCTCGCTTGGTCGCTCCTGCTTCCACTTCCGCCTCCATCGGCCAGCTGGGTGTCCGAAGCTCTGCGCGCGCGCGTGCCCAAGATTCGGCTCCGCCATTGCTCCCGTCGGGCGCCGCCGACCCTCTTGAAATCCCCCGCCGGCTTCGCGGGTCGGAGTTTCGAATCAATCTGCGGACACCCTTTTGCGCGTGCGCTCTTCCTCCCTCGCTCGCGTCCTCCATTGTGCTCGCTCTGTGCGATTGGGTGGGTTCTTTCGTTCGTTGGGGGCTTTCTGCTCTGTTTCTTGCTTGGAATTTTCTCGGGCTTTCCGATCTCTTGTGCTGGACTTTGATTAGAAGGTTTCGAAGTGAGTAGCTTTCTGAGTGGTGTGTGTGTGTGTGGCAATGGGTGCTTCTTGGCACGGGCGAGTAACTTTAATTTGATGTTTTCTGTAGCAGAGACGGAGCA